GGAAGTTCTACGAGGTGATGGACCGGGTGCTGACCAGCCGGCCCGCCCTGGCCTACAGCTCCCTGAGCGGCAGCATGATGGCTCAGCAGGTGCTGCAGGGCAGCATGGTGGAGAGCTACCATCACCAGTTCGCCTCCGCGGCCCTGCCCTTTGGACACTCCCAGCACCCTGAACTGATGGAAATCAAATGTGAGGAGGTGAACTCTGATGAACACTGCTTGACCCCAGAGCCCCCACCATCCATGTCTTACCAGCAGGGCTCCCCTGAAGAACATGAGATGGAGAGAGCCTTCTTGGAGAGGGCCCAGAACGACTCTCCCATCTCCAGGGTGGAGATTCCCATTGAAACCAGTGTTTCACCTTCAGGTAGGGATAGCCTTTTACATTCCAGCATAAGGTTTCTGCCCGGTTTCCCAGAAAGAGAGATTTTTTTTCTGGTGCAGAGATAGACACCTGGTTTTCACACTGACGTTTGGATCCTTATTTTTCCACGTCCCAAAAAGCTTTAAAGTAGAAGGCTGGTATCTGCATTCGTAGTCTTCTGGCCATTCCCGAAACGTGTCTTGCTGCAGGTAAATAAAATCTAAAATTACTGTGCTAGGCTAAATACTGTGTATGAAATCCAAAGGGCTGGCATGTCTGCCGTAAGCCAGGCTAGGCATTTGTGCTAGATTTCTGCATATAATGCTGACAGTACTTACCTTACTGGGGAAAAAAAAAAAAAAAAAAATGGCATGCTTTTTGGTATAATTTGAACATCACCAGGGCTGTCTGCGGTCCTCATGCTGAATTGTATCAGGAGACCCTCTTCTGTCATGGCTACACTATAAACCTGCAGGTGAAACTTTCCTTGCCTTCTTTTAAAATACTTTCCAGATCTAATCTTTTAGGACACTCATCAATTTAAGAATACTTGGGAATAATCATTGCCTGGCTTTCTAAGCTATTCATTAGGACTTGGAAAGAAGATGTTTTTGAAAGTCACCAGCAGAAACAGCTTATCTGTTTACAGGACATGAGACTCCTGCACTGAAAGTGCAGTTGGCCGTTGCTTGGCTGCCAGGAAGGGTACAGTCTGGAAATCCTGGGGATTTCAAACCAGTCTAGGACAGGCTGATGGAAGAACACGGTATGATGGGGAAGAAGAGAGACGATAACCAGTGTGAGCTTAATGTCTGAGATCAGGAAGAAATGCTATGTCCTCTTTGCTGTGGTGGTTGCGTAGTTAGTCCAGCGGAGGGAACTGACGATCATACAGGTTAATTCAGAGGCCAAGCATAGGGCTGGGGCTGGCAGCATAATGGGGTGCGCCACGTGTGAATTTTAAAAAAACTACCTTCAAAAAAACTCACAAACTACTAAAAACTACCTTCAAAAAAACTCACAAACTTCAAGATGTACCCGGCAGATTTTGCTTTGGTTTTCCTGTAAAATCATACAGTAGATCAAAGGATGTTTCCTAGGAGGGCGGGGGAAGGCAGCAAAGCACGTCCACGCCACTTTACTTGCTGCGTGTTTAATTTTTCTTCCTTGCTTTTACGTATTCACAGGTTTCAGTGAGCCCAACATGGCAAACTCGTCACGGATCCAGAACGTGGTTCCCCGGCCTGGCTTCTCCGCCTTGCATCGGCTAAGAAAAAAGCGGAAAGGCCAGCGCATGAAGGACCCGCTCGATGATCTCTTGCTGAAGACCCTGACGTCTCAGCGGGCCATGGAGGAGCGCTTTTTGCAGATGGAAGAACGCCGATTTCAGCGAGATTTGGATGTGGAGGAGCGTCGGATGCAGCTGGAGCAGCGCCGGTTTGAACTGGAGCGGGAGCATGAGTTCCGCATGTTCAATGTCTTTGCTCAGATGCTCAGCATACTAAAGCAGAGCCATAGCGGCTCCTCCTCCTCCATTGCAATGCCTCGGGGCTTGGACTTCAGCCAGGCACTGTCCGAAATTGCAGGAATGGGAGGAGGAGGGGGCAGCCTGCAAGAGATGAGGGCTCGGCCGCTTACCGAGAGGAACATGCACGGCTTCTGTAACCCCAGCAACTTTCAGAGAAGCCCCTACCTCTCTGCTCGCGGCAACGTTGCCAACATTTTTCGTGGCTCCGCTGAGGAAGGGTACAAAGCGTATCATGCTGACAAGTATGATGAAGACAATAACCCCAATGTGAGTGAGAACCTCAAAGTGCTTTCCTGGCTTTCTTGCTAGGAAAAGAACTTTCTTAGAGGTTTGCTGACAGATATGCTAAAAGCGTGGGGGTTTTTTTGTTCTCACTAATACATGGCAGGTCAAGCTTTTTGTTTGAGGAAGAGAAGTAAAAAGTAGCTTTGCAGATCATGTGTATATCAAAGATGAAGGCTGCATTCAGCTCAGGTTTGCACGCTCTGATTTCCCTGCCGGGGGGATAATAGCTCTAGTAGACCTTGAAAGATGTAAGAATTCTGCAGGAACAAACAGCTCCTGTTCCTCCTTTCACCTCATCACCTCTGTTGCCCACTGAAGACCATCTCTGACTATCTGATTATATCTGATTATTGCAGGTGATGGGTGCAGGAGATACAACAACTAAGTAGTAGACTTTTTTTTTTTTTTTTTAAAGTTGCTTTTAACTCAGCACTTTTTCTCTTGTTTGTGCTTGGCTGCTCAGTTGTAAGTAGCTCATCATACCCCCCTTGTGGCACAAAGGCTGAGTGTTAATACTTCATAGCAAATTACTACTGTGTAACAAGTGTAGTAAATATAAATAACGATTTATTTGTGGATTGCTTTTAAATAGATCCTGCATTCAGATACTGAACTACTTGAAACTTTAAAAATGTTTTATTATTAGTCCTGACTTTAGTCACACTGTGTTGGGAGGTGAAAACTAGACTTTTAAGGTAGAAAAACACAGTGAAATTTTTGATACAAGGTGCATTATGAGGTGCAAACTGCCTCTTCTACCAACTGTTGTCTATGTAGGAGGTAGCTTTTTAAACAAACACCTAAAATTGGACTTGTACTTTAGTAACATCATAAACGTACAAGTGCTCAGATTTCCTTTCGCATTTTCAAAAGTTTATTAACCCAGCCTTTTCCAATAATGAAAATGTGCTAGTAGATTTGAACTCTTCAAGATCTAATGTAGCGCTAAATTAGCAGAGCCAAATCCTAAACCTGGAACTGTAGGGTCATCTCTCCAGAGGGGAAAATTCAGTGTTTTAACCACTTTTCATGACTACATGTTTATGTGGTTTCTGAGCAAATCAGTGGAGTGGAATGTTAATGACTGATAAACAAATGCTTTTAGATAAAGCAGTGAATCCAAAACCTTGTTTAAAACTGCTGCAGAAGGGTAAACCTGGGTTTCCTCAGAGTTGTTCTAGGGTTTTTCTTGTAGTTAGATGTTAGATTCACTCACCAGTGAGTGAATTCAAGATTAAGTTAAAACTATTCTGTAAAGAAGTATGGACCATTAGTACATATTCATTTACAGACACTTTATTGACTAAGAAGCTGAGTGCCTCGGATATATGTGTAAACACACACACATAGATACGTGTCTTGAGTTATATATGGTGAAGTTTATGTGAACTGTGTTTTGACTTTTCCTTAGTAAGCTTTTTGGAGGCAATTTAGTGAAGTGATACCTAAGATGATGTATGCACATGTTTTTTTGTGTCTATAAACAATAAATTATTTCTTTTTCTAGGGTATAATAAACTTTGGCACCAGTGAGAATAAACTCTGCTTTGACCTGATGTCTAAGCGGGTAAGTCCTATTCCAAAAAGAAATACTGAATTTGCTGTGTAGTTCCTCCTCAGTGCTTGCACTTTCCTAGAGTCATTGCTGTTGCTTAGGTTTCTCTGGTAAAGTTTTTCATTGTGGATTTTTTGTTTGTTGGAAGTCACTTTTGGATCCAGCTATTTGTATATTTGTTTATGTTCTTTTTCCGGGAAGCTAGGAACAAGGATGTTTTTCTGTTCCTCTTCATGATGGGCTTCCCTTTGGGGACGTACTTGGCTCAGAAAACTAAATGAAAATAAGATGCATTTTATTTTCTCCTGCTGACAGTAGTTGATTTAATACAGAGGATTTGAAATTTGAAATTTGAGCTCTGTTTAATTTCAAGGATCTTCACATCCATCCATTATAAAGTCACATGATTTGGACAGCCAGTTCTGAACTTACCCGAAATGTGTGAGGGTAGCAGCTCTTGAAACCTCTCAAAATCAGACTGGGTCAGCTGCTACCTGCTCATTTTGTTCAGTTGCACCAGGGAGAGGCATAAAACACACGGTACAACTCAAAAAGTAGAAAAAGTCAAAAGAAAACAACAGAACTGTGCTATAGAGGAATGTTTCTTGATTTCCATTAAAATCACTGCCCAGGTGCAGCCTGCGAGGAGGGCAGGTGGCAGTTTCTCCTACCTGAATTTGTCTGTGGGGAGGGAAGGTGGCTCAGGGTCAGACAGTTGGCCTCTGTGGTTTGAAGTTCATGGTTGCTCCCATTCCACCAATTCCCAGCCTCAAAATGTTCCTTGTTTTATTTCTGCCCGCCACTCCACTGACTCGGGGGGACGCTACCCCACCACTCCGCCTTCCAGCTAGAAGAACAGGTAAGGCAGAGCTGCTGCCTGCACGAAAAAGGTGCCTTGTAGGCTGCGTAGGTGGTTCCTTCCTTCCTTCACTGTCTTTTCCCCTCAAAACTAACACCAAGCCTGCAGTAAGTAGTGCAGAGGGAGATGGTAGTCAGCTGCATCTTAATTAGCCTTATTATGAAAATGAGTTAAGACTTTGTCAGCTGTAGTGAGATGAGCTGTCACGCTTGTGGCAAAAAGCTGAACAAAGATACTGTTGCCAGCTTCTCAGTCATCGTATCCTGGAGATACAGTATGGATTCACTGAATGCAGCACCAGCTGGGATTGTAGGCAAATAATTTGTTGCTATTTGGGAGAATAAATGCTTATTGTTTCCACTGAATAATGTATCAGATTGCTGTCCTCAACTTTTGACCCTTAAATTAGAAAATATTTTGTGGCGTGAGATCTCGGATTGTCTTCCTTTCAGTTGGCCCATCTAGTTTCCTTAGCCCGTAATGCATTACCTTTAAGGGTTCGCCTCTTTATTATTACATAGTCATTTTTGGCCAAGTCTGCTGATTCGTTTTATGTTGCATTCTCTAGATAAGTTTAGGAGAGAGATCTAAGGAGGCACAGTTCTGTGCTACATAGGCTTCAAGAACATCTACAGCTGAATAAAGGAACTTTAATCCTATAATACCAGGTTGTAATTCTGCATGGGATAAGGACAGTGTCTTTAAACTCCAGAGCTTGGCACCAGTTATTAAAACACCAATACAGCATGTTGTGGTTTTGTTATTATGTGAAAAAGTTTCACACTGCATGTTGAATTTCCCTCCTCCCTTGCACTATTGCGTACTTGTTGTGTTGGCCCACCCTCACCTTATCTATTAACTCATAGATTTGGTTGCCATTAAATATTTGGAAGGTACATTGTACATAATATTTGTTTATTCCCTCTTTGTTTATGTAAAATGTCCTCTTCTCTCTGCCGGTATCACCGCTGTGCTTTCCCTTGCAACTTCATAGAACTGGATTATGTGAAACCCTGATATTGACAACCTTGAAAATATTTAGATAAAAGCAGTGTGCATACTTTATCTAAATATAAACATTAAAAAGGGCTCCAAAGTTTAGGTGAATCTGTCTTTGAGATCAGAATGAACTCCAAATAAGGAACGAAGTGCCTGCCCTGGGGAAAAATTATCAAGAAGATAATTTCATTTTTCTCCTGTCTTTTGAAAGCTCCTGTTATGCTTTAACAATTATCAAAATTTATCAGAATTATAGATCTGAAGGAGCTGCAGTAACTTGGAACTGAGACATAAATGAAAGCTAGGATTCATTAAAAATTGATATATTGAAGGTTTATTAAAGAAAATACTTATCTGACTGTGATTCAAAATCCTTTCTATCCTTTCTGACACTCTAGACCTGAGCTTTCACAATTGGGACTTAATTTCCAGCTGAAAGGTGTTGTCCTCAGAGCTTGGGTGAAACTCTCTTTGGGACTCTTCATTTGCTGAGAAAGTCTTCTGCAGGCATCTCAGTTATAGGCATCGTGTATTGCCCATTCTGCGTCCTTTTTGCAGATCTCCGTGCAGCGAAGGTTTGGCTGCAGTAACTTAGCAGAAGCCTGTATTTCACATAGCCTGAAGTTATCACTGATCAGTTTGTTGGTCCTTGCTTCTCCAAGCTGCTTTAATTTTGATGGTCAGTGGCTTTCTCAGTCCAATGTTGAAGTTGCACATGTGTGTGTGTGTCTATGCAGGTATGTGCCTGTACATGGATCCCATCTATCTCCATGTTTCTGATATCAGTGACTGTGCTTTTAATGGTTCTTCTCGTTGCTCCCAGCTGACACAGACTGATATGAATCTGATGGAGCCTCCACTGCTTCAGTACCCTGACTGGAAGGGACATATGTTGTAAGTCTTCTCTTTTCTGTAGTGCTTCTCTTTTTGACTACTTGTCTGATAAGCAGAATGGATGAATACAAACTGCTTCTGCTACACTCACTAGTTAAAACTTTTCTAGGTCATTTAATCATGTTTTTCTTTGCAAAACTGTAAATTAGCTGCCCTACCAGTCCATCCGGTTAAAAATCCTTTTATGTGAGAGAAGATGCAAATTTTCTAAAGCAAACAAAGTTGTAAAAGCACTGTCTATATTAACAAATTAGGTAACTCCAAACAGTTCTCTGAAACATAGTGAACACTTGGGGACTTTAATCCTTCTCTTCTGTGTCTCAATTAAAGCTCATCAGAAATGTATGCACCATTATCCGTGACACCTTTGCCATGTGTAAAAGTCATGTCTGTGTCATGGGCCTGAGCTATCCTGTTTTCTAGCTATTTTCACCAGACTTTATTGTGCCCTGGCTTTATTTTCCTGAGATGTGGACCTGGGGAAGCCCAGCCTCTTGGAGAATAAGATGAATCAATATTTGCTTTTGTGTCTTTCTCAGTTTACGGGAGGAAGTGGCTCGATTTTTGACCTATTACTGCAAGGCCCCTGCACCTCTTAAGGCAGAAAATGTGGGTAACCCACTTTCCATATTGGTGTCTGTTCTAATGTATTGCCATTTGTTGTCAAACAGTTTCATCTTCTTTTTTTTTAAACAAATGATTTGGTAAGATGACAGCCTTTTATCATGTAAATGATTGATTCATAGCCATTTCAGTAGCTTTTGACGCACACTTCAGCCAAAACACTTCGGGTCTACTATATATTTGCCTCATGCTTTACTTTTGTGTGCCAACTCCTCATGCCAGTGCTCTCAGTGGGGCTTTATGTTTTCATCTCCTTATTCAGCTCTGGGACCTGCTGTGCCTGTATCCCTCAGCTTGGACAAAGAATGCCCATTGTTTCACTTGAGTTTAATTTTGTCCCGTTCTGCTGTTACACCTCAGGACAAAAATCTGTAATTGAGCCAAGAGTAGTTTTAGCCTGTAAAAGCAGACCTTTTTAGACTTTGCAGCAGTGTTGTAAGGAAGGCATCAAGACCCAAGTCTCTGCAGGACTTGCTTGGTTGGGAGAGATGCAGGCTGGGCGCAGGTGCCTGAGCAGATCAGGGACTCGTGCCTCTGCTCAGTGCCGAAGGCAGCAGGAGCTGGTGCAGCCGTTGCTTTTCTGTCTGCAGTAATTCAGCAGAAGCCCATACTTCACATGAGCTGAAGTTACCACTGATCAGTTTGCTGATCACTGCTTCTCCAAGGCAGCAGATTCTGTGTGATACCTGGAGTGAAACTTATGGGACTTGTGAGCATCTGTCTTCTAGAAGCAGGAGTCAAACCTGCTCCTGTACGAGACAGTGGTTTCCACTTTTGCACAAATTTGGCAGGAGGCCAGAGCTGCTGTTACCACGAAGAGACGATAACACATATTAGCTGATGAAAAGTAGTTTGCTTTTCTAGCAGCTCAGAACTGCTCCCCAGTTTTTTCCCTACGTAAAGCCTGCTCTTTTTCTAAATTGCTTATTAGAATCAAGAATGACACTGGGACAAAGTGTCTCTGAAGCAAAAAACAGGGTTAAAGTTATTTCTGATAGAAGTGGGATTTCAGCAGTAAAATTCTGGCTAGAGAATTGGGGAGAAAATATATTTCAGTGGTATGGTCAGAAATTATTATTTTATAGTGTTGTCTTTCTATGGACAGATTTATCACTAGCCTCTCTCTTTCTTCTGTAGGTGATTGTTTTAAATGGTTGTGGCTCTTTATTTTCTGCATTAGCTACAGTCCTTTGTGATCCAGGGGGTAAGTGGATGGTTGTGAGATGTTATTAATTGGGTTTTTTGGGGGGAAATAATGTGTTACTCTGTTTAAATATTGTTTGACAGAAGTGGTGGAATCGGTATTGGCCCACTGCAGAGTTCTTGTTTCCTGCAAGATTGTGCTGTGAAATTCATTGTCATCATGGTCTGCAGATGTCATGCACTCACACCTGGTGTCTTGCCCTGTCTGCCTTCACTGTTTTTGTGGTGCCCTGTTTTAGTTTGTTAGACTAAATGTGGGCTATACTCACGTTTACCTGAGAAGATTAGAGAATTAATGTAAAAATAAAGTGGAGGAAAAGGCAGTAACATTACAGTGTTTCCAGAGGGCACAGCTGTAAAAAAGCTTTCATGTTTAGCTGAAGTATATTAGAAGAGAGAGAAGGACTGCGACCTATTGATAACCGATTTTGTTTTCTCGGTTCCAGAAGCTGTTCTCATTGCCACTCCCTTTTATGGTGGTATTACCCAGAGTGTCTTCCTCTATGGTAATGTCAAGCTGGTGTATGCCTATTTAGACAGTAAGGTAAGGTCTGAGGGAAGGGAATACCAACATCTGTAGTTAAAAAATAATTAACACTGGAAAGTGCAGAGCTTTGGGAACCTCTGAAAGCAGTCCTTGGAACAAGGATAGGCTGCAGCCCGTGGACATTTTCCCAATTTATTTCTGGGAAACTGGGCACATAATCTGCAAGAAAGTTGTCTGAGACCATAAATCTAGATTCCAGTCTTGTCCTTTTCTTGTATCTTGCTCCCAATAACGGCTCTTGAGAGGAAAAACATGGCCATTATGAGCCTTGGAGACGGAAGTATGTACTGGCCTACTAAAGATGGTCCTGGGGTGGAAGAGCAGATGGAGGTCTTACATTGTTTTAGTTATTCAAGGATAACCAGAGAATTCTGTCTCTGTGGCCAGCCTATGATGAACATTTATTTTATTTATTTATTTATTTATCCTTTCTGTAGTATAAAAGGATAAGAAGATGGCTGCTAGGTCATTATTGTTGGGTTGTTATTTTCTTTTAGGGAACATTTGTCAGGGGATTGGCTCAAGGCAGACTCTGTTGGAATAACTTGGCCTTTTTTATCTTTGTGATGTCTTTCAGATTACTGGAACAAGCACTCGGCCTTTTCAGCTTACAGTGGAAAAACTGGAAAAAGCCTTGCAGGATGCCCGGGCAGAGGTGAGTTTAGCCGAGCTTCACATTACCAGTTAAGCCTACAATATGTTTGAGACAGCACATCCCAGAAGTGCCCTGAAGATCAAAACATTTTCAAAACCTAGCACCTGGCTTTTCAGTTGTCCTTGTAGATGACCTGAGATTAGGCTGCTTGCAAACCCAGGGGCAGTCTTAGGGGGAATCCCCCGGTGTTGTGTCTGTCCAGTTTTGGTCACAGCAGGAAGGATAAATAAGCCAGGAGTACCAGACCATTTGCAAAGCACTGGAATCCCTTCATATCACAAAAAACCCATACTTGGGCATGCACTAAAAAGCAGGGACTACCCAGGGTTTCTCATTCAGGAAGGCCAGCTGAGTTACCCCAAAACTGACTGACCTGCACAGTACTGCAGATGAATCCACTAAGAACACCGAGAGTTTTTGCAGGAGGGAGAGAGGTGCAAATCTAGAAGATAAATGCAGATGAGTTTCACCTTCCTGAAGGGTTAGTCTGTAAGTTTTGACATTGTCCTAAGCCCTATATATGTTTAGCTGCATCTTTAGATCATTACTGGCTCTGACATCTCCAGCCAAGTGTGCTCTAAAAGAGAACAGTTTGCATCCACATAGCTCAAATCCCTATCTTTCTTGCCTCATTCATGGGCAATCTTCAGTAATTTGTTACTTCCCAATTACTGACACAGCTCAGAGAAAGTTCTCTTCCATGCTGAGAATGTGTGAGAGCATCTTTCTCATTGGTTGACCAGATGGCAATGGTTGTGGCAGACTCCCTCTTTTCAAAAATCATAGGTTCATCTATAATCTTTTCTTCAGTTCACTTTGCAAGTGATATAATGGTAAAAAAAAATCTTAATTTGTGGCTAAAAGTGTTCTCATACAAATCTAACCTTTGAGGTGAAAAGTCATGGTGGAAGCTTAAGGGTAATCTTGTGTCACACTCACTGCTCAAGTAGAGGGACTGAAAATTTATCCCATGATGGGCGCTCTCTTAATACTGCTTTATTTGTGTTCTGCAGGGTGTCACTGTAAGGGCCTTAATTCTTCTGAATCCCCAAAATCCCCTTGGGGACATCTACTCCTTGTCAGAGCTACGGGATTACCTGGAATTTGCTAAGAGGTACGTCAGTTTGGAAGGCTGAGGCATCCTGAGTTGGATACGGCTTCCAGAATCTGGTGGACTACTTGCTGTCCCTGAATTTATCTGTGAATATCTTTTTAAGTCAGCCAAACAGTCTATTCTTCACACACAGCAGTGGGCTTAAGACAGGAGAGGGGAGTGCTGGCGACAAGGGAACATGGACCATGCAGTCATCTGGAGTGGCAAAGCAACTTGCATCAAGGAATGCAAGTTTTATTTGTTGGTAGTCCTAGCAAATACTGTGGTGCTGTGCTTCTGTGCTAGGAAGCTGAGTTCCTTTCCTTTCAGTTTCTCTGTACGTGCAAAGACAAAGAAATATATGAACATGGGTTCCCGGCTTCATCATGAATCACGGATACTCTCTGAGATTCAGAATCCTTGAGATTCTGAGTGGATGATGATGCAACTTATTCTAGATGGGTACTACATATGAGAATTAATTTTCACTAGTGCATTGGAAATTACTGAATTTTAATCTTGTTATATGGTTGCAGTGGGTGACAGGTGGATATATCTCAAATCACTTCAATGTACACATAATAGACCTTCTGAATTGGGAAAAAAATGCTTTACTTCTGCAAAATTTGGTGTCCCTTTTCTTTGTATAAAGCAAGTCTTTGCAGGCCTGAATTTATCTCTGCTTCTAAACCAGAAGCAGCCTTCTTTTGTAATCTCCATTTTGTCCTTTTGCAGACATGAATTGCATGTGATAGTAGATGAGATCTACATGCTGTCAGTTTTTGATGAATCAGCCACGTTTCACAGTGTCCTAGGCATGGACAGGTAAAATCAGCTCCTACTTCCCTGGCCATCTTCCAGTGACAGTTCAACATGATGCCTTGCTGAGAACTTGTGACTGGAAGTTAAGTCATGAGCTAGCAAATTCTGATTCTGCCTTATGCTGATTTCTTTTTTTTTGTAATTTCTGAATGGCAAATGCATTTTGTCAAGTGCAATCTAGCAAGTAAAAAATGGTAGTTAGTTTTCTGTTGTGGTACACTTTTCAATGTGTGCTTCGCTATTTGCTTGTGACAGTCCCCAAAACTGGAAACAGATGTTTCATTTGTTGAGAGTGAGGCTTTTCTTCCTACCTAAACATTGTTATCTCTTTCCCACATTTCTGTTGATGCCTGTAAAGACTTTCTGTTGCTGTTTACTTTATTTTTTTGCATACAGTAGTCACGGATCACAGTTATTACAGACTGGAGAATGGGTTTTATTAGGTATCGATTTAATGAGATGAAAAACTTTTCAAATCTCACTTTTTAAAAATATGATGTGGTTTTTGTTTGGGTTTTTTTTTTTTTTTTAATTTCCAGTTTTCACCAGTGGTGCTCTCTTTCTTTTTGTGCTCGATTGCAAGGAAATAAAATACACTTGGTTAAGTGTTAGTTCAGTGTTGCTGGGCTTGGATGTACAATATTGCAAAAGAAGAACTTTATCTTCTTCTGCAAAATATTGGGGTTTGAAAGAGAGAAAATTACTTTTAATTATTGGCAGATACATTGGCACAGGCCTGATTTCCTGCATTATATGTACAAGGTTCATATGTGTAGGAAATCTGCGCATGAAATGGAGCACTTGCAAGTATCTGTATATCTGAAATATTTTAAAATTGTGTCTAAAACTAGTTCCAGGGAGCTCCTAGCTTCTGAAGTTAGGTGGGATTTGAAATTTCCCTACTTGACTGATGTTCCGTGCTGCACTGTCTGTCATTGTGTAATGCTGCCTCTCTGTTTCTGCAATGCTGCACTGGTGATCCAAAACCTTCAGCACCTATGACACTAACTGCCCATCTGCATCCTTCTACATACAGATTGCCTGATCCACAGCGGACTCATGTCATGTGGGGAATAAGCAAGGTGAGTGCTGGTTGCCATCGTGCCACGGCTTCCTGGCTGGTAGGGTTGGCCTGGTGTCCTCAGGTTCCTCATGCTGGAAAGAACAAGGCAGCAGTAATAGGATCCTAGTCTTCCTGTGTAATAAAGTAGCCTCTCCATGTCTTCTGCAGGATTTTGCTGTCTCTGGGATTCGTTTTGGTACTTTATATACAGAGAACCAAGATGTTGCTAATGCAGTGGCTTCTTTGTGTTATTTCCATGGGGTTTGTGGACCTGTCCAGCACAAGGTTGCACAGCTGCTTAGAGACAGAGGTGAGTCAGTAGCTCCATGTATGATCCCCTGCTGTCGTGTGTGTCTTGGTACCTGGGCGATCCCCTCCCCTTACTTTCCCAAGTGGTCTCCTGTTTGTACAGCTTAATTGACAGTCTTCTGTAATTCTGAAGCTGCCCATGTAACACGAGGCTGACAGTTTGACAGAAAAGGACCATTTCTGCAGAGCCTCCTGATCAGCAGAATTAGAGGAGCAGCTTTGAAGAAGCACAATAGCTATTTGTATATAGCCAGTGTTGTGTAGAACCAGCTGAGGAGAAACAAAGAATACAGGCTTATGGGACAAGGGAAGTGGAACTGGATTTCTAGCTTTGCCCTGGATGGAGTGCTAACAGTCCACAACAACTAAGAGCTATTAATGTAGGGAAACTTCCTCAGAAAGGTCAAGAAGATACTCTTCTGCACAGACATCAAACTGCTAAATCGTTCTTGCCCCTCTTTTTGCTATTTGAGGAAACAGAAAACAAGGCGGTGAAGGGTGGAATGGAAAAGGCACTGTGAGTGTTTTGGAAACTTGAACGGATCTGAATTCTTTCTCAGTTTGTGATTTTTTTTCTTTATCTTCTCCTGGTCAGACTGGATCAACCAGGTGTACCTGAGGGCCAACCATGCCCGCCTAAAAGCTGCCCATACATATGTGACAGACGAGCTGAAGACACTCGGGGTTCCTTTTCTCAACCGCAATGCAGGCTTCTTTGTCTGGATTGATTTCCGAAAGGTTGGTTGGAAGGGAGGCTTCTCCTGGGATGAGGGTAGGCACATCGTGCAACTGCATCTAGAGGAAAGTATAATATTGTGATAAGCATTTTACTTTAACAAATCTGTTAGCTGATGAGCAGAGGAAAGGGCTGCCTGGTATTTCTGTCCGTTCTTTTCCTTTCGTCTGTCTGTGCATTTCCCTCCTTGCAGGAACCTTACTGCTCTCAAGCTACTTTCCTCCCCATTTCTTCCTTTATATCACATCTGCTGTACTTCAGAGGTAAAAGGTGTCTCCCCTGGCCTTTGCAGACCTCATGGGAATCACAAATTCATGAGGATCTTGGTGATTTAGCCTGTAAGTTACTAACCTCTGGCCCTTCTGCTGACTCTCCTAGTACCTTAGGACAGGCACATTTGAGGAGGAGATGCTGCTCTGGAGGCGTTTTCTGGATAACAAGGTCCTCCTGTCCTGTGGTAAAGCCTTTGAATGCAGTGAACCCGGATGGTTCCGCATCATCTTTGCTGACAAGACCCACCGGCTGCAGTTAGGTGAGTAATGTTTTCTTCTCTTTTTCCTCCCACCAGAATTTCTGCAGCACTGTTTCTTCCTCTCCTTAATCTTAAACTTATCCTATTATTATTATCCTCTTGTCTTCTCCTTTTTTCCTCCCTTTCCTTCCGTCCTCCAAATTTTTCTGGATCTGACGGATTTAGGGACACATTACACTAATCCACTAGTGTTTCTCCTCCTTATACCACTGCAGGTATGCAACG